TTGTTGCGTTTTATGAACTTAGAGGATTATTTGGGGTTGTAAGCTATGGATAACACAGGTCCAGTCCTTGGCGGTGTAAGAAATCAATAATATTTTTGATGTTTTGGAAAACTTTACGGTGCTTAATAATGCATCTTCTAAATTCTATTCTAGTGTCGGTGGGATGGCGAATGTGATGGGCTGACGTTAGCGGACACTGAAACATGTAATATTCAGGATCTCCGCATTCCCAGAATGTCCGTTACCCACCTATCAGATGCCTCCATAATAAAGAGACCAAACATCGCTTCCGGCCTTAGTAATGGCCAACACCTGTAAATGGTTAGAGCCCGCCAATGAAAAAATAAATAAATAAATATACTGTATACTTATTATGAAAAACAAACATTGTAGTAAAATATTAAGAAATTAAAGAAGTGGAGTAATTGTTTCAGTATAAAAACATTAAGAAAAACGCATCTGCTAAGTGTATTTTGAAACCAAGCGGTTGTCATGGCTTATCATACGCGATTGTCTCCTGGAATAACAGTACGTGCACTTCAGATAGTCTTATCTTACTTTTGTTAGGTAATTCCAAAGTAAAAATACATTTTTTGATAAAGAATGCTATGAAAAAATTCCATGAAGAACTTTAGGAATGACGCACGTTTCGTTTTTATTTACCATCTTCATTAATAATAACATTATTTTAAACTCACACGGAGAGAAATGTATTGACCATTTGATTTTTGATCACGAGTGAAGAGAAAAATCAGATTATCCTCTCATGCAATAAAGTCCTCTCGTGAGGTTTACAATCCTTAAAAATGCTAGAAGACCTTAAGATTCTGTGCTGTATTATCTTACTCAAATTTGGAATGCAGCTAAGAAAGAAAATTCATTCGCTCATCATTGGCACCGCAAACATCCGGCTAAAAACAGGCGTAAATGAGACTTTTCGTATGCACTATGCGCGGACATTGAATGGCAAGAACATAACAGAATACGCACACTATTATTAATTGAACAACTTGCAATAAATTTCTTTGAAATACTGCAATTCTACCACACATATAGGAAACTTAAATAAGAGTAAATCCCTTTATTTCCTAATAACTTCTGAACTCTTGTTACAGACCAAAGGTTCTCAACCAAGGGGAAATTCCCCCTACTGGGAATTTCATAGGTTCAGGAAGGAATATAGTCAGCCTTTTATTTACCTGTGACATATTTAGTTTTAGTTTATGACGATAAAAATATAATTTTATACAAATTTTTGTATTAAACGACATTTTCTATAATTTTTCTTGTTTAATCTATAAAACAGATTAAAAAAGTCTAAATTTAAATAAATATATATGCATTTTTCGAGTTTTGGAAAGGAGGGGGGGGGCGATCGTTTATCAGTGGTGAAAAGGGTGTAGGCAGCAAAAACGTTTGAGCCCCTGTTGCAGACCTTAGAAGTTAGCAATTTAGGTGTATCAATTAAGAAGTAAGTAATTCTGAATGTTTTCAGTGTAGAAGATGTGTATATAGAGCCCATTGATTTTACATTTTTCTAGAAATAAAATACTCCGTGGTTTTAAATATGTATGTTGTTATTAAGTGGTCCAAAAACATTAGCGTTTCCAATGGGTTGTAAAAAATACAAAAGAATTTAATTTTAATTTTTGAACAGAGGAATTTTTTCTTAGTATCTAAAGAAAATTTTAGATATTTGAAAAGCAACTTTTAGCCAAAAGTCAATAAGAGCTTTTATTCGTTCAGAAATGAGACAAAAAGAAAACACTACATTGAGTTTCTTTATATAGTTACTGTTTCAAAAAGAAAATACAACATTGAGTTTTTTAATTATTGTTATTTTTTATTTTTTATAATTATTATTATTAATTAATATAACAAAAATACTTACTACAATTAGTATTTATATGCTTATTGTTATAGAAAGAAAACACTAAATTCAGATTTTTCGTATAATTACTATTAACTAAGTCACCAACCGAGTTTTAGGTCATAATTTAAAGTCAGTTTTAGGTCATAATTATAATTATTTTCTGTAATTTTAAGGAACAATTAAGATTATTTACTTCGCTTTTTGTATCTTACTATAAAAGATTGCAGGTGGGAGGCAATAATTAAATGCTTTATTAGAAAGTCTTCAACTACATCGTTCAATGACCATAATATTCTCCTTTATAAAGTTAACATTATCCAGTTTTTTAGTCGCAAAAGAAATTAAACTCTGAAAGTTTAGAAGGTTCTCGACTGTTGCCCTGGTCATCATTTTCCCCACATCTCTCACTTCTTGAGAATATGCGTCGATGGATTGCCGAGAGACTGACTTGCTACTACTCATCATCTGCGACGATTGATGAAAAATTATCATAGTGGTGTGGAATGAAGTACCCGTTTCTGTTACCCAAGTTCAGATTGACTCGATTACAGCCGTTGTCGTTGTTGCAGCCGAAGGTGGCAAATCTGTGTACTGAATTCTGCGCGCTGTTTACCCCAAACCATCTGTAAATTTATTCATGTCTTCGCCATACTATTCTGTTATATGTACTATAAATAAAATTTTGCAATTTGCTTTTTTTCCTAGTGTAGCTATTTTAATGTCTAGCAGTACAAAATATCAAAGTAATCTTCTGATTAAAATTAAAGAACATTTCTTATCACGGGTGTATGTGTTTATCTTTGATGGTCAGAAGAACAAGTCTTGGAATGTGATACGTAGACCTGGTGACTTCTGGATAGTTCTAATTTTAAATATCAGAAACAAACTTAGAGCTGCATATTTACGGTTGCAGTCTCTGAAATCGGCTTATATGTGGCTTAAGCAGTTGCTTATGTGTGAATTTTTAAGATAAAAATAAAAACCAACGACATCATACGACAGCGTCAAAAATTTGCTGTTGACAAATAACAACCAACGATAACATCTCAAATTTTGTAAAACTATTCGCATTGATATTTATATCACGCATAACCTAGCAAATTAGCAAGTAGCATTTTGAGGAAGGAGTATTTTTCACTCCACCCTGGTATAAACTGCATGTACATGCACATATATATTCAAGTTCTAAATAAACGTATTTATTTAATTCTACTGTTCTGTTTAATTTAAGTAACAGAAATTAAGCTATTTGATAGTTTGATTAATGAAAATTACTTTCAAATTTACATGTCGTTTTTAAGTAAGAGATATATATAAATTAGCGCTGAAATCTTGCTTAGTAATATTTTGGAATTTTACATTAGAAAATAAAAAGTGTCATAAATAATATTCCGAAAGTAACTTGTGAATTAAACATCAGATTTAAATAATTGTATTAGATCACTTAATTCACACAAGAGTTTCATCTGTCATGTTCCATCACACTTTTGAGGAAGAGATTTAGAGCGGACAAAATTTTATTCTTTTCCTAGACATCAGTTTTCTGAGACTTTCAGATTGGGTAACTTTAATAGCTAATTTCTAATTTTAAGAAATTAGATTTTGCGAAGACAATTTGATCCAAAAATCCAAGAGAGTTTTGTACTCTGAGCCCATATGCTTTCAATTACTGTGCGCTAATGTGCACACGCAAACCGACTCCCCTCTGTGCTTGCAGGAAAACCGAGTGGTTTCTTTTCTCTTAACAAAAGCTAATTATGGTTCGCACCATTTTTATTATAGCCTTTTCTATAAATGATATCTTATAAAGATGCATTTCTGAAATTAAGATCGATATGGAATGACTACGTTGAAAATCTATATATCTGAAGCACATACTAATTCACCAAGCGAACATGAAAATAAATTTACATTAAGTTCGTTGTATTATATATCACTCTTTAGTCATTATCTAGAATAGGGGTCTTCAACCTTTCACGCCCGAGGGCCACATCAATAAATTCACGAAGATTCGCGGGCCACATGTCTGTCAAAAAATAGTGTAGTTAGAAAATTTATAAAAAAAGGAGGTTTGTTTTGCAAGACGTCAATTCATTCTAAGTGAAGAGATAGTGTTACAGATTTGTATAAAAAAATTGCAATATATATACACATTGGTTCCAGAACGTCAAATGGAAATCGAATTAAAATGTTTTGCAATTTTTTTAACTATGAAAAAAAAAGCATAAAGATTGTACAAAACGATGTTACAAAATGCATTTACAACAAAAAAAGAAAAAAACTTACAAAATTACTGGCGGGAGATGGTAGTTACTTTAGTTTGCTTTGTAATTGATTAAAGCTTCAATATCCGGCTTAATCTGTGTTCTTGCGACTCGTAAAGTTTCCTCCATATGTCTGTCTGTCAGCCGGGTTCTTGGTTTTGATTTTAGGATTTTCCTTTTACTAAAATGCTGTTCACATATGTAGGTACTGCCAAAGATAGAAGACGTGCAAGTTTAAGAATTCCTGGATACTTGTCTTCGGTCACGTACTTCGAATAAAATTAATGTAGGATTTTCAAGAAACTTGCATATTACTGCAGTCACTAAATCTATAAATTCTAATTGAAGTTAAGGTGAAACACATCCAACGTCTACTGAAAATGGCGAGGAGAACATTCTGATAAAAATTTCATTTTCACGAAAATCGGAAAATGTGCTTTTGGATTCCTCTTTCAAATTTGAAATGCATTGTAGATAATTATTTGAATTTCATGTAGACATGATCTTCACACACTCCATCAATTTTGAAAAGGGAGTGGAATTCTTATTTAGCAACTGACTATCGCACAGGATTATTTTTCTTGAAATCAAAATTTCTTAAAATTCTTCACCTTTTCTTCAAATTCAAATGTGAGACCACTAAACTGCCTTCAGGTTGAAGACTCCTAATCTAGAATATTTAAAACTTGAAAAAACGAATATTTTCTGTGATTGTTAGTAGTTTTTTTTTTTTTTTTTTTTAGGTTTGAAAACTAATTTTCCTGAATACCTAACTCCAGAAGAATTTAGTATCAATCAAAATTAAAAAAAAATCTCTTTAAGTCTCAAATTGTATTTTATGATAAACTTCTAATGTTTTGCAGTCCATTACTGATTGTGAAGCGGAATGGAATGTGAACGTGACCTGGGATAAAATGTTCGTCGTGCAGTGGTCTGGGTTAGAAAGAAAAGCAGATGTTCGAATCAAGGTTAGTGCTGACTCTTCAAGGTGCACCTTAAAAGACTCATGGTTTCCAGCTCCGTTTTCCGAAAGGTTATTGAAGATACCGCTGTCATGTTCAAATTCTGAACATGAATTTATTGCTACAATTTTCTGCAATGATACTGAGGTTAATGAAAAAATTATTAATGATGTCTGGGCGCCGCCTGATGGTAAGCATTTAAGAACTACAAAATTTATCCTATTTGATGTGAATATAATCTGAATGTCTTTTATTTATGCCTCATTTTTAAAATGTTTTGAATATGATGTGAGTAAGACTAAGTCATGCTTAAATCCTATACAAAATTTAACATTAGATTGCGTAGATTTCATAAAAGGTTCATATTTTTTGAGAGTCATCATCTGATTTTATTCTGATTATTAGCAAAACATTTTTAATCCTTTCGCCGTCCTCTCCTGTCCGCGAAAATATCTCCCAGCGGCCGTCGGTTTTTCGTAGCGTGTAATGTTGTTTTCTCTGTACATCATAACTTTCCATACATGGCTTTCGTAGGGGATGAATGTCAATGAATATTATTAAGTAAAATTATAAGGAAATAAAGCATAATGGAAAAATAATAACATCTCTGCTTATTTCTAACAGCAGGATAGTTTGATAACATCTGATCCAGGCGGTCCATTCCTCCCATTTTGTTGTTGTAATCTTTTACAATTTACTTTTTTTTACAGTTCTTTTCCGTGTTGAAACACCAATCATCGAGTTAATATGGACTGTATTCATTAAACGTATATCCTTCTTGTCTTTCTAATTCACAACCTCATTTTTTCTCTTTTTCTGCTGAGTATACGTTGAAGCCATCTCTCACTGTCTTGTATCTTATGTAAAATAGCGCGAATATTCATAAGACCCGGGGAAAATTCAATTAGAAATAGAATACCTGATTAGTGCTACCCTCTAGGAGGTATTAAAACAAACAAAAATAAAAAACTCAAACAAGTAAACATTTAGAAAGCGTTTTAAACGTTTAAAAGTTTTAAAATGTAGAACGCTTGAGCCGCGTTACGGCCGCCCCGCGGAAGTTTCACTTGAACGCGCTAAACGCGTTACGGACGATGAAGAGGTTAATCCTCCAAATAAAAGCACCATATCAAACTTCCTCGATTCGAGATTTCAGAAGAAACCTGCGTTAGCCTGAAAGTTAAATTCTGCTTGATTTCACATTTGCTTCAAATTAATTGTAATCTGGATGTTATCTAGTAGGAAATGAGGCAGATAAAAGAAAGCAACACATGACTGCCAATCTTTTAAAATGATATTTTATCTTTAGTAAGTTTCATTCAGTTCTCTGTTTTTCTTTTACTGAATTAATTTATTTAATACCAGTGTTTTTAAATTAACACAACTATTTTTCCCAATGTCGAGTAAAAATCGTTATGGACGTTTATAAATGAGAAATTATTAATTTCTTACATTTCACTCAAAGAGAAATTACTAAAATATGCTTCATTCAAACTGCACAATAAAAATATTCCATCAATGGAAATTTATTACAGTGCAAAAAGGATTTGAGATTCTTTATGTACACTGCCAAAAAAAAAAAAAAAAAAAAAAAAAAAAAAAAAAAAAGGACAGTTCTCCGAAAAAAAAGAAACATCTCCCGTTCTACTGGGTTGATTGACTAAATTCAAATTGCTTTTTTCATGGCTCGAAAGCATGATTTGTATTAGATTTATATGTAGCATTATTCTAACATAGGTATTTTGATACAAAATCGGATTCTTTCTGAAATGGTATGCCAATTTTTTTTCCATATTTTAATTCGACGACTCAAATTATGTCTAAATATTATATTTTGTAAAATTTGGTGAGAAATGTAAGAAAAAAATCCAAACATTTTTCTTGGCATATATTTTTCAGTTTGCGCCAAGAATAATTTGATGGCAAACATTTAAATTTATAGCAACCTAATTTTCCTTTCTTTTTTGCATTGCAGACGAGCGGAAAAAAAGTCTACGTTCATACAGGTACTTTCAAATAATTTTAACAATGTGAGTAAATTACATTTGACGTTATTATCGTTCAAAAAAAAAAAAGATGTCAAATTTCAAAACGAACCAATATGTAATTTCATGTATATCTTTGAATAAAAACCTTTGAATGAAAGTATTGAATAAAAAACTCTAATTTTTTGCAGGTGTGCCTAGAAATACATCTACTTTAAGAGGTTATCAAAAATTTTATAGGTTACAATACAGAAATGTTTTTTAAAAAATTATAAAAATATTTAAAAATACAAATTTTAAAAATAAATCATAAAAAACGTGCGAATTATATGTGGATTAAGCCTAAATTTCGAATTCTGGTAGAAGGAAAGTAGGTTTAAGGGGAAAAAAAATGAGATATACATAAATATATATCAAATTCAATTAACACTGTGGAGCTAAAATTTTGAGAGCGAATGTTTGAAAAACTACTCGTGCGATTTGTACAGAATTTGGCAGTTCGGCATAATTTGAGTCATAAAATCGAAATATGGAAAAAAAAATTGGCATGCCATTTCAGAAAAAGTCCGATTTTGTGTCAAAATATCTACATTAAAACAATGCTATATATAAATCTAATACATATCGTAAGTCGCGCTTTCGAGACATGAAAAACGCAAGTTTAATTTCGTCAATCTTCCCAATAGAAAGGGAGATAAAGAACTGCCCGCCTTTTTTTGCGCAGTGTACATAGTGGAATTTAATTGGCAGATGTAAATCAAGCTCTTGTTACTTGATCTAAATATATTTGAAGCAATATTACCTAATACGCTTCATTAACCTTTGCTTGGAGAATATTAGCTACCAAAGAAATGAACGTTGTTCAAGACTATACTATATTTTGCATATAATTATACACAATGTTTTTTTTATAGGGGATTTTTCTGATTACTATTGTGTTTAAATAGCGCCTATCTTCTATTCAAATGTAAACTAATTTATAAGCTGTATTAGAGCTGTGAGCTGAGCACCACATTTTCCTTAGCCAATGTTTAGGAAGATATCCTAGAACAGTTGCGTAAGTTATAAATTGTTAGTTATAAGTTGCGTAGGTAAAGAAAATTATATTAGTTACGTTTATTACGGATTAGTTTAACAAACTTTTGCGCATAGAAGCGTGAAAGTGCAAGGAGACCATTCACCCATAAAACAAAAAACAAAAAAAACAAAAAAAAAATTATGTATTTTACACTTTTTTTACCACTGATGTGGTATTCAGAAACAATTTTAAGTCGTGAATTCGTTTACTTTCCTCTCGGATACTTTGACAAACGAGTTTAAAATTCTGAAACGCATTATTTTTTTCTCGCGGTTGTATTTCTCTTTTCATTGATATCAGAAACGTTTTCGGCCAATTAAAATTTTCAGATTAGGAACATCTGATCTTCTTCATTTTGTCTTCCATTCATTCCCAAAGTCATTATTAACTACCTAAATGTTCAAATAGGTATAGGTTGAAGCAAGGCTGGCACCTGTGCATCCAAGTAGTCACGTGTCAAATTAGTAATTACCAGGGCTTGCTAACTGCTTCGTTTCCATTCCGCTGGAATTGCAAGGAAGAACACTTCGCGGGGCGGTTCGACGGTCTCCCATCCCTCATTCCATACCATTACCCTCTCGAGAGGTTTTCGGCTCGCCCTGCATCTTGAGGGCCCTCTTGCCGCACAGCTACTGTACTCTTAAAAAGTCCAATGCCTTCTCCAGGATTCGAACCCAGGCCCAGTCAATGTCATCTGTCTGGAATAATGTCCAATATTATACGTATTGCAATAAGATATATACACTATATATATATAGTGTATAATATAAATTTAACAAATATTCTTTATTCATATAAAGCAAATATAAAAATTTCTATTTGTATAAAGCAAATATAAAATTAAAATTTAATTAAAAAATTTTAATTGCAAAGAAATAAAAATAAAAATAATTATTATTGTTGTTAACTAATTCACAATATCATTTAAATTCTAAGAGCATATGTAAATTAATTGCACTTATCTAAAACCATGAAAAAATATATTATTCCAAAAAATTAAAATTATTACTCCTAAAAATTGCATAAGTGAATAATTGTTAAGAAGGCAGGAGACAGACAGACTCAGTTCGTGTTTCGTCATCCATATAGGCAAAGGTAAAAGTAAAATTCAAAACCAAAAGTAAAATCAAATGTTGTGATTTACAAAAAAAAAAAAAATAAAAATAAAAAAAATAAAAAAAATAAAATAAAAAAATAAAAAAAAAAGAAATTTAAATAGTGAAATTTTGAGTAAATAGCAAGTAAATGACTAGAGTTAAAATTAATTAAATTAGTTAAATATTTGAATTTATGAGCTGTACCAGCATTTGCTAAACAAGTTGAGTTGAGTAGCTTGTATTGCTAACTGTAAAAATAGAGGTCTCTAATACAATGTAAAGTTGAGTATAAAGCTGCTACCTGTGAGAGCTATTGTAAAAACCATGTTGTAAATCTCAAAAATGTAAAAAGTATAGTGCTTGCTTGTGTGCAAAAATGTTGCCAACTATGAATCATTGTAAAAAGTGTAATAGCAGAAAAATGTAAAAAAATGTACTGCTACTGTTTGTGAAAATAGATTTTCAAACAACTTAATTTCGAAAAAATAATTTCATTGCATTATAATAAATAATTTAATTTAATTGAATAAATTTAAATTGAATTAGAATGGAAAAGAAAATTACGAATTGAAAGAGAGAATTATGGTAAGAATTTTTTTGTTCTAGATTGCATTATTTAAAACTGAAGTTACAAGTTCAATCAAAACTTTAACTAAATACTGGCCAAAGTTAAGAAAATTAAAAAATTAGATAAAAATCTTCACTCAATTCGGGCTTTAATTGAGACTTTTGAAAAGAGTTGGCCCTCATTAGTAAAAAGGAAAAGATCCAGTATTGATAAAATATACATTTTTACAAAATATTTACAAGAATTCCCTTAACTCTTCAAAATCCTTCATTACCCTCCAGTTAAGGTTTAAGGTAATATTGTCAGAAGATGTATGTCTTTTAACTTGCTTCGTGAATATAACGTATCCTGAATAAGAACAAGGAGCTTAGTAAAACTGTGTTCCAGATTGTGTGGAATAGACGACGCAAGCAGAAAGGGTATACTGAACCCTTTATTCTCGATTACTTTAAAAGTGCTCCC